TGGTACGCTCGCTCCAGTGCACGGATCACATGATCTGTGATAACCTCCCCACAGGCCCAGCAAAGCTCCAGACTAGCCTAAGAGAGAGAAAAAAGGGTTATGGAATACACTTCTCTCACAAAATAATAATACAAAAATTCTACTGTTTAACCAAACCACTTAAATATCATATGTACGGTTTTTGAATCTCATATTTTATTTGTTTTTTACCACACCATGCAATGATAACACAACATTATTAACAACAGGTGACACGTTGGATAATCTTCAATTCTGTGCAAGCTAACTATAGCCACCTGGAAGGTATGGAAACACCCCTATTCAAATATGTAAAACATCAAAGAAGTCTTAAGAGAACAGTTAGCATTAACGTAAAGCATGAATGATTAGAAGTAAATAAGAATCCAAAAACAATCAATCGTGCAGGGCAGTATCTACCTGGTAGCAGTCTTCACAGAGGGGGATTCCTGCTTTGTTGTAGTACTGTTTACCAGCCAGGGGAATGTGACAAGATCTACACTGAAAGCAACCATCATGGTACGTCCTGTTCAAGGCCTCTATTGCGGGTTCAGATAGAGCCACAGGTTTCCTGCAGAAGCCACACACCTCTGCAGAGTACACAAACATCAAATGTCAAAGCGGCTCATAATAATATGTGTATTGTCAAAGTGGAAGAGTGTGTAAATAGAGATCACATTACCTCTACTCTCCCTGCTCGTGTCTTGCCCATTATTTTGGATCCCATGGGATTGTTCATCTTGTTTTAACCCACTAGATGGTGTGCTTGTTTCCACCTTAAATGAAAGGTGCATGCTTAATGTACAAGTCAACTGTAACCTGGAGCAGAAGTTGGCACTATTTATAAAATGCTTGATTTAAAAACAATAACAGAAAGTGTTCATGGTTGATGCTAGTAGAAAGGTAAAGGAAGACATAACCTCATAGAGGTCAAACTGGATAGGAGGTTGTAGAATAAAATCAACTTTGCAGAAACAAATGCCTTTTGAGGATTTACAAGTAATTATAATTACAAGATTTGGAGTATACAAGTATCTCATTAATCTGTCATTAATGAGAACCAAACATTATCATGAAGATATCTACATTTTGGAAAGTGCTTTTATTTAAGTTTTTTTTTTAAGTATCACTCTTTGTGTTTGAAGATTATGCATTGAAACCAATGCATAGTAAATACTTATATCGACAGTTGTAATCCTTCAATACTGGTGGGTTTTTTTTAAGTGAAGTTTTGTGTTTAAAACAGTAAATGACAGTGGTCGACATGAACGTTTTAGTGATGCAAATGTGACAGAGGTGTGCATACCTCTCTGTTGTAAATGGGCTGCTGGCCTGGGGTCAGAGAGCTGGAGGGAGGCGTCTGTGCAGGTGCAGGTGGAGGTGGAGGTGGAGGTGGAGGAAGTGCTGATTCTTCAGAGAGCGATGTTCCCAAAGATGAAGGAAGTGCTGCATCAGGAGGAGGAGCAGGGAAGAGCTCTGTTTGGCAAGAAACAATATTATTTTTAGTAATTTGTAGGATCTCGTTGGTTTTCGGGTCAGGGGGTCACAGGTTCAAACCCCACTGCAGTCAGCATGTCGTTGTGTCCCTGGGCAAGACACTTCACCCCAAATTGCTCCTGTGGGGATTGTCTACAGTATTGAGTATGCAAGTCGCTTTGGATAAAAGCGTCTAACAAGTGACATGTCATGGATCTTTTTCAAGTTAGAACTGAGGATAGTTGTAATAAGAAAATCAAAATATTATACACAAATATATATACATGTGCATACATACAGAAAATGCCACCCACCCACAAAATAATTAGAGAAGAAAGAAAAGAGAAAAAAGTGCTAATCACAAAAGAGAAAATAAAATAAAGTGAGAAAAAGATGCTTATGAAGTTATGCCTCCTAAATAAGTGTTTTGCTCCTCATAGTCAAACTAAAGTGAAAAAATGTCTGCATGTTTCAAGAAGATCGGTAGCAGCTGTTCCTTAGATATAGAACTTAAGTGTGAGAAAAGAGCTATGATTTCACCGATTAGCATTACATTGTTATAACTTTGTCAGATGAATGTTGGAAAGTTAAAAACTTGACACAGAACCAGGTAACTAGTATGCTGCTGATGGTTCTGAGATTTTGGAAAGAAAGGTCTAAAACTTGCAAAACAATAGTTTACACTGATACAAATATATTATCATGAATACCTGCAGGCCCTCTTTCATCTTCTTGAATCTTTCCTCTGCTGGGTTCAGGTTGGGCAGGTTTGGGGCTCTTGGGGTCTGAATGTCTAACTGAGGCCTCCTGACGAGTCTGGCCTTTGCTCTCTAAACTGCCCTCAGACTCAGACTGTGAGTTGTCCTCTTTCTTAAGTCTGCTGACGGGGATGTTGTCACTTGGGCTGACTCGTACAGCAGTTTGAGGCTTGTCTCTGGCCGGGGCGCTGTGAGCTTTGAGGACGGGCTGCTGCGGTGTCACAGTGGCTCGGTGAGGAGGCGCCAGAGTGATGAAGACAGAGGACACCAACCTTTTTGATGTAGCTGCTGATGCCATGGCTGTATACAACCCACACACAGCCTAAAAGGAGGACAGAACAAGTATGATGTACATTGCTTGCCATATGTAATGTTCAATAGTCCTTCAGAAACACTTCACAGACTCAACACATGACTTCATTTGTTTAGGTACCTTGGAGTGTGAGAAAAACAGCATACCAATAGTGGCCATGGCATTGTGTCCCTATTATCTCAATAATAATTGTACACATCCTCTCAGTCAACTTTGTGGGAGTGCTCTCTCTCACTTCAGAGGGGTAAACTCACACACTTACAGCTCTCATTAGTCAAAATGAATGGTTCTACAGGCAGAAAGCACAAACCTGGATCAACAGTTTTCTTAAAACCCACTCACTCTGTCTGTAAGCTGCCCTTACATACCTGGGAGAAAATGCGGATTGAAGACAGCTCTGTCTTTTCTTCTTTCTCCTTCCCTGCTCTGTATCTCAGAACTTCTGGTTTGTTTTCCCTCCTGTGAGCTGCCACTGAGAGAAGGCTTTACTCGGGCGACTATCAGCAGAAGGCCACTCCTTTTCCTTCTGCACCTCCCTCCAACTCTCTCGTCCGTCGACCCCTCCTCCTTCTCTGGCCGAATGACAATACCTCCTCCCCTCCCGACCGTAAAAGGTGAACAGTTAATCTCGAGCAAAGTGCAGTAAAAAACACATTCAAAACGACACATTCATGCATTATGAAAACTTGGCTGACTCACACAAACACACACACACCAACACAGTCACACACACATGCACAAAGACACACAAAGAGAGTCATGCAACAGTTGGGCAATCCAACAAAAACACACAGTCAGACTTTTTTACAATGTAATATACAGTATCACAGAGTATCTCATAAGGTTTTTGCCCTTAGATAGGCACCAGCCACCTCCCACTTCTTTATCTTTTTGCATGCCAGCAGGATGTGACTGTACCTGCCTTTTCCAGCAACTCTCTATCTCACTGTCCTCTTTCTCTCTCCTGTGCAGCTCTGCCTTATTGTTCTGTCAGCTTTATTTTCCCGACCTCCCTCATTGAGTCTGCCTCCTTTTTTCTTCTCCCTCTTTCCTTCTTCCCTTCCCCCACTACATTATATCACTTAAGCCTTGACTCACTATCAGTGTCACATGGCATTGCTTCCATTTGTGCACCACCGACGTCTGATAATATGTGGGGGGGCTTCATCAGACTCTCCTGGTGGAGCTTTCGTGGTTGAAGGCGGCCGTATAGGAGCAGCAGCAGCATTACAGTGCAATGAATCAGGGCATTGTGCAGGAGGAGATATTGGTGTATTAGGAGAGGATGGGGGGGGGGCATTGAGTGATGTCTGTGAGAGCTCTGAAAAAGCTGCTTTGTTGTGTTTGCTGCCCTCCACTAGAGAAACATATCAGGTCTGCTGATCAGCAAATATTGGGATGGGCTTCCTGAGGCAAACCCTCTACGCTCAAAAGGGAGGATGGAGTGAGAATAAAAGTGATCGGTGTGGGTCAGAGTGGAAGAAGAGTGAGAGAGGGTTAACAGGAGACGGGCTGAGGGGAGTGATGGGGGTCTCTGTTGTTCCTGCTCTGTGGAAAGGAATGCTGCGGTGATGTCACGGCTGCAGGAGGGAGCATGCCTACCGATGACACAATCCCCAGACCTCTACGCTCCGCCCCCCCCTACAGCCAAGATCCTCATTAAACCCTCTGAACCTCCTCAATGCGTCTACAGAATTAAGTTTCAGTTCACTTTCCAGCATCCCAAAATAACGTTTTACTTTAATCCGGAGTTTTGTGTCTACTTCGGTGAGAACAATGGATACAGAATGCAGGGAAATGAAGAGAAAGCAACAGGAAGAGGCCCAGTAGATATAAAAACAATGATGATTGCATGTTGTTGATGTTGATTTCCTGATTGCAAACATCTGCAGGGGTAGAACCAATACTTCTCAAGGAGAAACGCTGTTAGTTTAGCCAAACACCACAAGTGAGAGCAGGATTACTGCTTTGAGTAACATGCATCGAAGTACTTCAGTAATAAAGTTTGGGGAAATGGTGAGAGCTGGAGGCCAAGATAATGTCCCTTCTAAGGGTCTACAGCCAAAAACCAAGACTGCATTCTCCAAAATGCAACTGGTCTTTCATAGGACGTCCCCCCTTCCAAAAATAGTTTACAAAGTTCCTTTCAAAGGCACAGGATATAATTTACTTCTGCATCATACTTCTTACGTTGACGAGTAACTCATATCATGTGGAATATTAGTGGAGTGTCCCTTTAACTAGTGACTTATGGTTCCTGTAATTGGATATTTGGTACCAATACGGCACCCTTATGTTTAAAATGTACCTACTCTCCAATTTCTGTGCTACTCATCAAAAATATTTTAAAGGTTTTATTCATAAAGGAAGTGTTTCTGAAATAATGTCTTCAAAGTGTGAAGTTGTTTAGAAGATCTAATATACGTAATAAGTATAATTAGTGTGTCAAAAATGCATAAAAAAAGGCTACTTTATTAATTGTAAAATATTTACAATCCCTGACCAAAAATGTGTGCAGACGCACAGTTAGGAAGATCTGCTTTTGTTGCTCTGCCCCACATACTGTACTTTATGCTGTTGTATGAACCTTGGCACCATTGAACACGAGGGAAGCGGTGGAGGTCTTGGTGTGGGCATTGGTGTGGACATTTCATCAGCTTTCTGCTCATCTTTGTTCTTATCAAATAACTTTTAAAAGTCTGTTTGGTACAATTATGCTGCTACAATAGAAAAATGATCTGTAATGCAATATATTTAATAAGCAACTCGACAATCCCTTTATCATAACAAAAGTATCAATAATAACAGAAACATCTTCCTTTTAATACTGAAAAGCAGCAGCTAAATGGTGCAAAATCCTCCTCTTGCCTTCTGTTTAAAAAAAATAATACCAATAACAGTTAGTCTACAATTAGTGCCTTCAAGTGTGTATTCTTTTATTATGTAAACAGTGTTATTAGGATTCATTGAAATTCGAGGTAGTGTCCGGTTTCGTGATAGATTTTGGGCGCTCCATCAACTGTCATCTGATGATGTGTCCATCCTACGATCCTTCATTTTGTGATTTAAGTTCGGTTGATATTTTCTTCGTAGCTTCTTCTTCCTAAAAGTGAAGCATGACAAAATAAATGTAATTTTCAGATTTCTTAAAATTACTTACAAGTCGCACAACAGTTCTTTAATAGAGAAATAGTTATACTCGATAAATCGCAGTCCAAAAAGGGAACATCAAATATGTAAAATCCCTGAGTGAAGAGTTTATTCACACAGACCTGTAACGAGGCTCTCAGCAGATCCTGAGAGGGCAGCAGGCTGACCGCTTCCCCCAGAAAAGTGATGAGGACGTGGAGCACATCAGACCAGTTGCCCACGGTCAGCACCAGCACCAGCAGGGCTCCCAGCCGCAGCACCACAGTGTGAAACAGAGCTTCTGTGCCGGGCTTACGATGCTGATCCTCTGTGCAAAATAAACAACAAAACGTATACAACATTCATTATTGTGTTTTTGTGGTATTCTATAACCTAATTTTCCATGTATTGTTTTATCTGTGCGATTTTTAGGTGTATCCCTTATGGCCTACTGTTAGAAATGCACAATATTAAACAAGGTTATCTGATCTCATTAAAGAAAACGAGAAATCTTCTTAAAGACCATTTTCCTGACCTCTATACAAGGCTAGACAATCACCTTGGACGTAGACCACCAGGATGGAGTAGCAAAGCGTCAATGGAGTCCAAAACTTGAGTGCATCCTTCTGGGACAGGAAGTGGTCATAAACCGTGGCGGTGGAAGCCACAGCTGCTAGAGCGAAGACCAAGACGACCGCTCTTTGCAGTGAAGCCAGTATGGTGTGTCCGGAGGCCAGGAGGGTGATGCACTTCCCACAGTGAAGCTCTGTGCTATGAAGTGGGTAGAGTCTGGCCACATGGCTCCACAGACTGTGGCTGACACTTGCCAGTGCCCAGCTGAGAGCAGCTGCCAGAAAGAGGCTGAGGGAGCTGTGTGGAGCCCCCTGATGGAGGTAGCCCAGAGCACAGGAGAGCCCACAACCCAGAGTGAACTGGCTCTGGATCAGCAGCTGCTCCAGGCTTCTGCCATCAGCATCCTGAGTTAACATTGGTTTAGGAGTTTGGATGAAAATAGGTTAGACAAGCATTGGAAATATCTACATGTTGAACACTGTGGTAGGGTGTCATTTCACATTGTTCCCCCTGCTTCCACTCCTACTGCTATTTATTAAATGCTTTACTTTATTATATTCCCCTTTGGTTGTTTGTTTGTTTGTTTGTTCACCATGTAAAGTGGCCTTGGGTCCCTTGAAAGGCGCGATACAAAAGTAATCTACTATTATTATATTTAAAAATCACAAAAAACACAATAAAGCATGTTTTCTGGTCATTTAATAAAAAGTTAAATAAACACATGGTAAAGCCATATTCAGTTCAACTCTGTGTGAATAAAAAACTACTTAAAAGTACTTTATCATTTACCTAAGATCATTTATCTTAGAGCAGAATGAACTGAAATTACAGAGAAACATAAGCATAACCTATTTTTCAAACAATATATAAAAAATAAATATGATATATTATTTTATATTGTTAGAGCAATAATGCCCCCCTAAAAGAAGACACATACACATAACAAGTCTAAATCAATGCGTTATCTGTTCATGTGTTTGGGACACTCACCAGTCGTGCTGTTGCCCAGGAAGAAACAGCTCTGAGAGAAAACTCCAGCACGATCAGAGAGGAAACCCTCGATCCCACCAGAGACAGAAGGACCGTCAGGAACCAGAACTGGAGAGATGTGGTCCAGTTTCCTCTCAGACGACTGCCAGTTGAGGAGGAGTCCTGTTTGCTTTCAGTTTCAGTCTCAGAACCACTGTGTGGATGGGGGTAATCAGACAAAAAATGCACACATATAAACACATACATACAATACACAGTTTTCTCCTTTCAAATAACTCACCTGCATGTTTGAATAAAGTTGTAGACTCTCAACAAGTTGCACAGCACTGCTATACCACAGGCACCCACAATACCTTTGAAGCATAAGTAACACCACAGCCAAAAAATAAGTATACAAAGAAAGTACTCTACCCAAAGTCTGATTTTTATTTCGCTGAAGATATAAACATATGATCAACTCACCTTGAAAGAAACAGTCTAGTGGGTTGGAATCTAAAATAATCCATTCAAAAATTCCCAGGATCCAGGAGAAGGGAAAGAACATTTTTATGGTTTCCTTATAATATACAGTAGATACCGTGCTATGATCACCCACCCATGCTTTTCAATCTAAAAACCTGTTTAGAATCTACAAGTTAGTTAATGCTGAGTGCCAAACCTTCACGCTGCCTTTATTTCCTCCCCTTACTGAGCTCCATGTTTAAGGTCCAAAGGTCAAATGTGATTGGAGTTTGTTCGTCGTCATTCTAATCATTTGCTGATCAAAGAGGCTGAAATCCTCTCAAAAACTAGGCTAACAGATCCCTGTTTAACCAGATGAAATAGAATCATCCTTTGCTTACAATGCATCTTAGATATTAAGTAATTAAAAGATGCTGCAATTATGTCCAAGAGGATACAAAAAAACGAGTTTATTAAATACATTTTATATATACAAAACCACTTATTATTGTTAATATTCAAAGGCTTGAAGTATTTTTAGGTTGCAATTCTGTACATAAAAACCTCAATTTGATACGTCAGCAAATAAAAACATTCCCATCCGATGTTTTTTTCTCACATTTAACAGACAAGGCAAATAGAATGATTTAACCTGCAACAAATCACGGCAGCCACACTGGGAGATACATATAATACAGAGCTTGTGTTTTAATAATCCAGGCTTGTGTTTTTATCTGAACTAAATTAATATGACTGCGAGCCATCAGGACTCTCACTCCTCTCTTTTTAGCTTTACTGCCAGCAGACACATGCAATTCATTTTGAGGTATTAAAGGCAAAACTTGGTAGTTTGACAGCATACATTTAAATATATTTAAGAAATTGTAGGAAGCCCTGAAAATGTTAGTTTGAGTTTGTGCAACATGTTTCGAACTTTATGAAGCATTTAATGCTGATCCGTCTTCTTTTCTTCAAACACAGGGAGTGTCACTTAAATTGTTCCACGTAAAATACGCTCATTCTTGTTCTGAGAAGATGTTAGAAGACAAGATTGATATGACTCGTCTGTGAGAAGGTCCGATATTCAGTGTTAAGGTTAGAGTAGCCGAGTGGAGTCAGAGGTTCAGGATGTTTCAGCCCTGTTGGTCCTTCACTGTCTGTTGCCTCAACAGATCCCAGAACAGCATGCTGAGCATTGTGTGTGGGGCCAAGCGCAGGAAGACAGGGCCCATGCCTTTATAAAAGCCCCTCAGGCCCTCAGCCTGGCACACCTTCAGCATACAATCTGAAAATCCATGGTACAGACGCCCCTGAAAGATGGATCAGAAAACAGTGTTAAGTTTGATTGGCCAGAATTCTTACAAAAAACGTTTTTGTGCCATTATTTAGCGCAATAACACATTTTTATGAAAAGAGCATCTATTTGATTTAGTCATTATTCTATTGCTATTTTAATCCAAAATTATTTATTTTCATTTACTTTGAAGCACAAAACACAATTGAAATAGATGTTTTGCACAAATCTCTACGGAGAAACTAAGCGTTACACATCTGTTGATTAAATCAACTAATTCATTAATCAACAAAAGAGTGTTAATCAACTAAGACTTTCTTTAGTCGAGGATTTAACATAGGTTATTTAAACTCACCCTACGAAACTCATCCACGGGCTGATTGTATAGTCGTGTACTGATGACGTCAAAAGGTGTCATGCTGACGGCGACAGCTATTCCGCTGATCATGGCGGCTATCAAAGTCGTGAGCCAGCTGTTAGGACTAACCCACTACATAAAATAAAATAAATGGATTACAAACAGATGTTGACTTTTTTACTTTTTGGCTGATGGATTCACGTCAACTGTTAAATAAGTGTTATAAAACTGTCAGCTGTTTATCTCCTCTACCTGGGAATGTGACATCCATTCCTTGGCTGACGTGAAGGTTGCCAGTTGAGCAGCTGATCCCATCATGACCCGAGGCACGGCCCCATTCACACCCCTCCACAGACCAATTACACCGTCTCTTCTATATATGGTAACAAAGGCATCAGACACTCCCTGAAAAGAAGAAAACAAAGGCATTGGTGTGCTGGAAGTAACAGATAATAGCACTTAATGATACGGTGTATATCATGTGGTGGTAGATGTTGATAGAAATATGTTGAATAATGGATTGAAAAGCCTTTTCCAATGCATGTATTGTTTCACATCAGCGCACTGTATGTAGTCTGACTATAACAGCAGTGCAATGCCGTTTGTGTAAAAACGTTTCTTGATGGCATTGAGACCACTGGATCTCGTGATCAGAGCTGTATTTGTATTCATTCATCCCTACAACTTGCAGACATTAAAATCAGTATATAGAGTATCTAGATATAGTGTTATCGCATTGTCTTCCTAAATTACAGGAAAAATAAAGAAGGCTTTTCATTTTTTATGTAAAACGCATACTATTTTCCTAAGCATTTGATGACATGTTTACTATGACATCCTTTCAGATGAAACAACGAATAATGTATTCATGTGTCTTACCAGGTGGTTATGCTGGTGGCCTACTGCTATGGCCTCCACAGTCTGAGCCTGCAGGTGGGTCTTCACCTGTAGAGAACAATGAAGCACAAATGATTAATCAGTATTCAGCCAATATTAAATCCTAGGCCATAAAAAAACAGACTAATTATTGTCCATACGTCAGTTAATGTCCGTGTCAGATGCAACAATGACGGGTAACTCTGCTAATAATGACCAGGTTTGAGTCACATAACATAAACTTGTTGCGAGAAATAAATTCCTCAGTAGTCCTCAATTGAGTCCCTAAAGATCAAACAGCAGTAATATCATGCACAAAACCAAAATGGCTCTCCAGTTGATCTTAAGTTTCAATAAAAATGACCTTCAGCCCTGCGTCCTTCAAACACTGCCAGCACCAAGCAGCCACACGATACTGTATATTTCTGGCAGCAGCGGGTAGGTGGAAGCGGAGTGTGGAGTATATTTAGTGAACTAGATATAGTCAAATGTGTTGTCAAAACTATTTTGTCTTTCCATGACGGTGCAAAAGGTTGGTTTGCGTTTCCATGACGGTGCAAAGATGGTTCAAATGTATTGACTGACAACTGAGAAAGAATCACAACAACACGACTCCTGCCGATTTAAAAGACATGCAGAGGACATTCATAAATTGCAATTCAAGAAACAGAGACAGACAGGTGTGAATGTCTAAACATTTTGAGTCTCGTCTTGTTTTATAGATGTACTTAAAGCTGAAGGGGACCTGGATGTGAGCCGGTGGTTAATCAAAAAATATTTTACTCATCCATGTGGACAAGTATAGTAGTCATCCTTATATCATAGTTTTATCTTGTATTCTTTCCAAAGTAGATGTCATTAAAACCTTATCTGTGATTAAGCTGACCACATACACCCATATAATGTCTCTTCCCTCACGAGCGCTCATGCTGGATTAAAATAGATGTAGGACATTTGAGACCTCTTTGAAATCGAGCTTGTTGGCTTTCCTTTCTCTCATTATGTTGAGTTACAATACCTTTGTTGAAGCTAAATGCTTGTGGTTTGAAATGTCACCTTTTAATTTAAGTTTTTCCAAATGTATTTTTATACCTTTTTCCAAATAATTTATTATTAGGTTGTTTCAAAACGGACCATGTTCAGTTAAAAAAATAAAAGTTACCACCATAATTTCATAGCCTGAAACTAAATTGCATTTGTAGTTCCTTGGCAGGTCACAAGTAAAATACAAAAAACTGTATTTTTGAGGATCTGATAGACTTTACTGAGTGAGTACATAAAGTCACAGATCAGAGGATGGGCCAATCCATTTAAAATGTTATACATCATGCACAGGTTTGAATATCATCTTAATTACTCAAATCTCAATAGATTGTAATAGAAGGTGTTTCTGTCCCCATTTATTTTACAAAGATAATTTGCTGTTGTTTTCATGTTTTCCTCTTTAAACTCCTTTAGAAGCTTTCCTCTTTATATTTTCCTTTAGTGACAGAGAAGTTATCGTTCTGTCTAAACGTTTTTCTAACTTCACTTCATACAACTCTTAGATCGACTTGTACATTGAAATTGTTAGTCGCCATTTTTTC